CCCCAAAACCCCAAAACCCCAAAACCCCAAAACCCCTTCTTCTGCTTAAAAATTGAAAGATTACCGTTTAAAATACATTTGCTTAGCCAGCTCTGGAGGAGGAGTCTTGTAGGTCAGCAACTTCCGCTTGTAGTTATCTTCAAGCTCATCATCTTGGGCTTGACTCTTCTTGTGCTCCTTCCTTGCTTTAAGCATGCTCTGGAGATTATACTCAGCCTAGAATGCACAGATAGATATATTAAAGCACTCTCTAGGAAAACTTACTCTCATTTCGATCCTGTCCTGGTTATTTGGCGTTTCTTGTGAGGATATTGGCTGGAAAAAGTTGAGCAGCCTCTTTTTACTTCCACTACGGGTATTTCACAATGAAAGTTTGTATTTTTGTTCTTTAGCTATTTTTGCACTAATCATGTATTCCCCAAGCGTGATGGGGTCCATGTCATCTTCAAAACTAGGCTTTCGCTTGGTCAGGGGTGGTTTGTGATGGAAGACGACGGTATTCCTTGCTGATTTGGCAAGCTTTTGCTTGAGTTTATGGTTCCCTGGAGCAGTTTTTGAGAAATGTTCATGCCTTAAATTCTCATCAGTTTTCTCAGGATAATCATCCTCAAATTTAATGGTGATATCACCGTTGTTCAAGATGTTTTTGTCAGGTTTTGAAGGATTTATGGTGCTTAAGCAGCTATCAGAGTTATTGTTCCTAGTCTGGTTTTCACAATTCTTTTGCATCTGAAGGGCACATTTCTTAAGGTCTCTGTATTGCTTGTATTTCTTCGTGCTTCCTTTGGCCTTAATATGCTCTGTGGATGCTGAATGCTTCTTGCTTCTGTGGGTCCTGGAAGACCTATCTCTTTTGGTGATTTTAACCTTCTTTTTAACCCCTTTTCCGCTCAATTGTGGCTGAGAAGGTATTAAGCCTTACTCAATGGTTGATAACCATATCAAGGAGAATGCTGAGCTTTGAATGTGCTACCTTTTGCTTGTCGTTTTGTAGCAAGTGCTTAGATGCAAGGATGAATGACTTGAACTCTTCGCAATTTCTGAATTCACGTTTGGCCATGATCGCTGTCAAGAAGCTTACTACATAATCCATTTGTCCTTTGGAATTTTTATTATTCAAGTTTTTAAAATTTAAGGGGTTTTGGGGTTTTGGGGTTTTGGGGTTTTGGGG